TATCCTTCCAGAAATAGTGCAGTCCAATATCTCTTGTCATTTGTAGAGTCTGTATTCTAAGTGTTTTCTTGATAAGTATTATGTGGACTTCTCTTGACAACTTATTCATTGCATATCTTATAAAGATTCGAAACCCTCTATCTGTTCCTTTCATCAGCTTGACTTTTGTTATCGCTGGTGCTTCTGCTGAAATTACTCTCATTGTTTCTGCCAAATTTTCTCCCCTTTCTTCATCTATATTTTGACATCTGATAGAGTTCCAGTTCATCGATCTTTTCTTTCCGTATTTCGCACTTATCATTTCCCTCCACTCTATTTGCTGTCAGTGTCAACAATTTTCTTATCACTTTCATATGTCTCTGTGGTTTTTTGAGTTCTGTCCTCAAATTTCATCGTTGTTTTATAAGTATTCTCAACTCTTTCCTCCGTACTTTCTGTATTTTGATCTATAATTTCAAGTCTCTTTTCAGTTCTCTCTGTGATTATTAAGACTTTTTGAATTTCTAGCATAATTCTTTGCAATGTTAGTCCCTTTTCTTCTTCATATTGAGCCATTTTTTTGCCAGGTTATAAACACTGCCACTAAACATCCAAGGCTTTTGCTAGTAAAGTTCAGTAAATTCAGTAAAGTTTTTCAGGTCAAAGCTTTTTCTTTCCTTCAAAGAAACACATGTATAAACAAGATGTTTTCCACTGACCCTTTCAGTAAGCAAAGCCAATATCTTTGTATTATCAGATGTTGCCAAGCCTCTAGCTTCTAGATGGCAGTGTTACATCCTTTCCCTCTGTTTTTGCCTCTCTTCTCTTCTCCAGAAAAAGTGTAGAGGAAAAAGGGGGGGGGCAGTCCACTTTAAAAGTAAGAGGCATTTGTAAAAAGTCCATCCATAGAAAACAAACAAAATTAAAGTGAAAACGATAACACGATAGTTTTAAACCAGGGTTAATTTACCGCTTGCTCCCTTCTGTCTTTAATCTTATTTTAACTCTTAAGTCTTTTGGGGTTTCTCTTCTCTAACAATAAGAATTTTTCTCACCATTTCGACACACTGTCTCTCCCATTCTGCTTCCATTTCAGGGGTCTGTCCCAACCTTCTGCAGCCATTTTGGCTGCTTCTCGTAGCCAGCAAAAGAGCTTTTTCCTGGATCGATCAGAGGCTTTGCGATGCCCCTGAGATCAGCAGGACGTGCCCTTCTCTATCACCGTTTCTTCAAAACGGTTTAGATCCAAAAGGATCATCCAGCAACAGAGATATTGACAGCAATCCTGGAGCCCCAATATTACATGTCGTGTCATAGCAACGTCAGGTCCCGTCTCTCTCAACTGCATTCCATTCTTATTAGATTAAAATGGAGGAACTGGTCCTGCTTGCTCAGCAGGAGAGACCAAGTCTCAGAGGAATCCTCCTATGGCCCTGAAAAAGAGGAAGCAGCTCAAAGGATCTGAATGAAAGGATTGTGTGCACCCCTCTCCTTTATGGAAAAGGTAGCATGGTGAATTCAAATACAAGTAGATAGTCCTCTACTTACAACCACAACTGATTCCAAAATTTCTGTTGCTAAGCAAAAGACAGCTGTTAAGTCAGTTTTGCCTCACTTTATGATCTTTCTTGCCACCATTGTTAAGTGAGTCACTGCAGTTGTTAAATTAGTAACACGGTTGTTAAGTGAATCTGCTTCCCCATTGACTTTGCTTGTCAAGGTTGCAAAGGGGATCACATGACCCCAGGATACTGTAACTGTCACAAATACATGTGGTTATCAAGGATGCTGATCACGTGGCCATGGGAATGATTGTAAGTGTAAAAACAATCATCAATCATTTTCTTCATTGCCATTGTAAGGTCAGTCACTAAACAAATGGTTGTAAGTTGACCGCTACCTGTATGTCGAACTCTTATTTTCTCCATTATTAGTTTTTAATCACTTACAAAAATGACAATTAAATTCTTACTAATTTGATATTTTGAGTAGAATCATCCACCTAATCACATTTTAAAGTCCAGACAAAATGACTTTATGATCAGATGAAGTTGCACATCATACTAGGGGTAAAATTCAGCATGTTCTAACAGGTTCTGAAGATCTGGTAGCGGAAATTTAGAGTAGTTCGGAGAACCGGCAAATACCACCTCTGGCTGGCTCCAGAGTTGGGTGAGAATGGAGATTTTGCAATATCCTTCCTGCATGAGTGGGAAGGTAATGGGGATTTTGCAGCATCCTTCCCCTGGATTGGGGTGGGTAGGGAGATTTTGCAGTATCCTTCCCCTGCCACGCCCACAGAACCAGTAGTAAAAGAAATTGAATTTCATCACTGCATCATACATTCTGTTTTCCTAGGCAGAGAGGTTGGTAATGCAATGCTTGGAAATTCTGAGGTGCCCTTAAGACTTTGCAGAGACACCCCGTTCTTCAGAACCAGTTTAAAACATCTCTGGGAACTCGGAATAAATTGTGACTGCCTTACATTGCGTTTGCCATGAGTTTGTGCTTCTGCTTGGCATCATCGTGATTATTAGAAAAGTGTGGTAGTGTTCCAACAAATCCTTGCCCATTTTCTCTCAGGCTCTTGTCAGTATCAGAATTACAGCAGCATGTTAATTGCAAAGTTGTAAGTAGCTGTATGGTGAAAGGCCAGGAAGATTAGGAGGCGGGGTGTCCCTCAGATGTAGAATGCCTTTTACTTTAGAAGCAAGTAGCCTTTCCTCTCAGATCTTTGCATTTCTGATTTTGAAATAACTTAAACTGCACCTCTGCCACAGAAATGAATCCTTTTAATGTCAAGTTAATTTAAGCATTTCTGCTACAGTTTAAATTATATATCAGGAAATAGCATAAATGGTACAATTATGTCTGCGGGCAAGATTTACACTTCTTTCTGATTTGGTAATGCTGCTTTGTGAAAAGGAATGCCTTTTTTCTCTCTCTCCTCAGAAAGGCTTAATGTAAAAGATCACCCATGTGATAGGGCCTGTGCAAATATAAAACTTGATAAGTACAGACTTACATGCAGCGTAAGGTGAGAAGTTGGAAGCAGATTAATCAGGTACATTCTGTAGCATGAATTGTCTGTCTCTTTCCCGCCACCCTTAATTATGGCCTTTAAGACTACATCAAATCAACATTAATCATTGGTTTTATCTTAAGCAGAATTTACACACCGGTTTCAACTGTGATTTGAGGTTTAGTTAAAAGGATTCCTTGTTTTGCATTAACTGCTATTTACATCATGATATAATGTTTAACTGTGGTTAAGTAAGTGGTTCTGAAAGAACAGAATGGCTGGGGCAGGCATGAAAGTTTCCAGGTTGAGAATATTTTCTCTTCCATATTGGAGAATTTGGAAAACATTGTATCTTGACCACTTTTTTTTTTTTTTTGCACTGAAATATTTTTCCTCCACAACATTTTGAATCTAATCAAGCTAGAAATAATTCAATGATAAGTGATGAATCAAACATGAAATTGATTTTATAGTGATTGGCCAATTACCCCCCCTCCTTTTTTTCTTCTTCTTTATATTTAAAGAGGGTACTTTGCAGGAGAAAATACTTTCAAATAAGTAATACACACACCCTGCATCTGTTTTAAATATGCCTTAAGGGAAAAAAAATCTCAATTTATGGGCCACCCATTCTTACCATAGGGTATCACTGGGTGGCTTACACTTACATATAAGTTAAAGCATAAAAAGTTAAAATGAAATCTTAAAACCAAAGACACATGGGGAGGGCGGGGGAAAAGTAGGTGGGGGACAGTGGTGGGTTCCTACCGGCCTTCCTATCAGTTTGCTGAGCACGCGCTTTGCATGCACACTTGAAAGAAACTTGGTCAGAAAACAGCTGAGGAGCGGCAATTCAATCTGACGCCCCGATCAGCTGGGCTTCAGAAGCTGAAATAAAGGTAGATATAACCCAGGGGCAGGCAGGCGGACCCACTTTCAAAGCAACGGATAACCGGTTCGCTCTCTGCATGACAGCAGAGCTACCATTCAGCAACATAAGAGGTCAGAATAGAGCCTGCTTCTTACCTCTTGACCATGATCAATCTTGTCTTTTCATTTTCTTCAATTGGGTTAATTTCACACAAAGCCAAGTAGGGCCAGAGCTGGTTAGTGCTTATATAAAAAAACCATCAGGAAATCACTAGACTATGGGTTAAACTGTAAGCATTATTTAAGACTTGTATTGGCTTTAATCAAAGCGATATATTTTATTTTAACCCGGCTTGTGGTGAAGCCTGAAAAAGAGATTGTCTGCTTTAATTAATAGTAGAGAGTACTGTATTTGTGTATGACCTGAAGAACCTCCTCTCAGTCTTTGCAAAAGGTGTGCAGATTTCTTACAAACAAGATGTATGAATTTCTTCGCATGATAGACTGTGAAAAACGAGCATCAAGGTCAATAGCTCTTGTTTCAAATGTAATGAAGGGTTTCTCAGCTCGCTTTCATTTAGTAGCCAAGCCAGCTTCTGGAAGTACTAAGAAATTATTTTTCTGTGGAGATACTAATCACAACTTGTCTGTATTTTTCATCTCTTTATTTTCTGTTTTCTGATTTAACACTAGAAGAATACTGCATGGTGTAATTTATGAGCGATGCAGAATGGTTGAAGTTCTCTTTAGGGAGAGAGATAATGTTGCTAGGACATCTCTAAAGTTTATTTTTGAGATTTCACTTCCAGAGTGTTAAAACCCAGTTAAACTCCTTAGAAATGTATTTTGTTTGCTCTGTATAAAATGTTAGAGAAAATACTGAGTACTCTGTGCCAAGATTTGGAATGATGAAGTCCCTCATAGGATGGACTTGCATTTGTATCACAAAACCTCTAAATACTTGGGAAGTAAGAATATTTGGAATGTAGAGCCACGGCACCATGAAATTCAGGGTTCTGAGAATGTCTTACACTCTTAAGAGGCTTCAAGGTTTTCCTAGTATGCTTTCAAGCCATTCTCCTTATTGCCTTATTGTCCCTTCTGAAACATTCTTCCTTTCATTTTGCAGCAGCCCATTGTGCCTGCCCATCCAATGGCTCCTCCTAGCCCCAGTATCACCAGCAGCAATAACAACAGCAGCAGCAGCAGCAACTCAGGATGGGATCAATTAAGTAAAACAAACCTGTATATCAGAGGGTTGCCTCCAAATACCACTGACCAGGACTTAGTAAAGTTATGCCAACCGTAAGTATGCTTGTTGATAATAAATTAAGAAATGGGTGGTCAAAGATTTAAAGGGATCGACTTGTGAAAAGCTTTTTTTCCCCTCTGGATGTGCCAACAAGACCCATTGATTTTAAAAAAAAGTAGCACAGAAATGTATCAGAACTGAGTTGAGAGCATAAAACAGAGTAAGTCTAGTAAATGGAGAGCATAATTCTACAAAATAGGGTAAGTCTAATAATTTTACATTGACTTTGATCATTCTTCATATAATTGGAATGGAGAATTATTGAACTTATCAGAACTAAGTACTTCTAAGTTCTTATCAATACTTAGAGATGTATGCCTACTTTGTGGCAGTGAGTGAATCCTGACCCATAAAGTATTTTTTTCATGGCCCATAAATAATTTGATGGGGATCAAAAATTATTATTATTAAATGTTGTAGATTCTTTTTCTTTTACTACTGTAAACACGTGGTATGCTGCTCAGAATCTCTTAATAGGATCAGCATTTAATGTACAATAAATAAATAAACACCATGGCTGCATGCTAGACTGGGCAGGTGAAAAAACATTCCAGAAGGATGTTCTCAGTCCAAAGAAAACAACCTTGGATGCATCCATGAAGTCACTACGAGTAAAGGTCTACCTTTACCTTAAGCTAAAATCTTATTTTGGGTTGTATGGCTAAAACCTCAAAAGTGCATTTGTATATAGCAGATGTATCCCATTTAAAACAAGATTGTTCACTCAAGAGTATTGTAGCATACTGTGAATGAATCTATTATTTTGCAAATGAACCAGTTTGAAAAGCCAGAAATTTAAAGTTATTGCAAAGTCACCTTGTAATAACATTTCATGTAAGTGTGCAAGTTCTTTTTCCATGAATCTGGGTGACTGTTTTTGACTTTTCATTATAAAATCAGTTGGCTTCATTCATTAGCTATTATGTAGATTGGTGATAAACTCGTTTGAGGAAGATCTTGGTATAGTTCTTCTAAACCGTGATCAATGAAAACATAATATTGTGAAAGTTACTCTGCAAAGCAAATGATTCTTGGTCTTTACTAAGCTGACTGATTCTTGTAGTTCTTTCTTAACTTTTCTCTTTAGAATTTTATTTCTTATTAATAGTGCTTTATTTGTACCATAAATAAATCGTATTCTTTCATCAAGTTGGGATAGTTAGATACAATTTTATCACATTTTAAATAAAAATTATAGATAGTTTATGTTTCTGTTCTACCTTCCTGGACATATTAATGGTTCTGCGTTAATATGGCAGCAGAAAACTTGTGGAATTGGTAGATGTTGTGAAATGCATCAAGTCCAGTTCAACAGTGTGTAAGAATCCTAGGCCTAAACTTAGAAGATAAGACTACATTAAATGCTCCTTTCAATTGCTCTTAACTGGTGGTTTTTAGAACTGTGTAATATTGTATAATTGCCCATAATTCTAAATATGTCTGCTTTCATAAACATCATTTTAAGACCTATATTGACTTCTACTCCATTCCCGTTGCATATTTTTCACAGTATATAGAGTCCTTGTATGGAGTCTGAATAAAACCTGCCTTGATGATTAAGCACAAAGTGCTTTTAGGTTCCACACTTTGATTTCTGTACAATACATGTTGTTATACTGTGAAACTAATGTCACAAGTATCCATTAAGTTAGAAAGCATTTTTATCATCATCTTGATTAAAAAAAAGGAAAAAAAAGTCTTGTATTCTTGGTGGCCATCAAAATAGATGGCTAATCCATTCATAATTGAATAAAACTAGATTGTAGAAGGATCTTGGAATATTTATACAGTTCTTGTGTTTCAGTATCCGTTTGTTTCTAGTAATTGTTTTACTCTGGGATAGAGCTAATAATGACCATGATAAATAAAACTATCTGAAAAAAAATTAGATAACTTTTGGGCTTTGAGAGTGTTTTTATCTAATTGCAGAAGTTTTACATCTTACTGTTGTATTTGTAGCACTATAATTACAATGTAGGTTTTTAAGGTATGACTATGTATTTTATTTAACAGATTCAAATGGAAGTGTATTTCTGATGGGAAAAATGTTTCTTGCTGCCAGCTTGTTTTGTCTTTGGATTTCTTCCATTTCTTAACCTGTGTCCACCTGGCCCCTGTAACTTGTCTTCCACTTGCATTTTTTCTGCCAGATTGGAAGAGACATTTGGAGTCACCGGGGAGAGCAGATGTTTTCAGAGACCATTAGAAAGATTCTAAAATAATTTAGAGGAATAAAGCTCTGTTTTCAGTTAGTGGCCATATGTTGGGAAATGAAGGCATTTGTTTAGTTTTGCATTCGGACATCCAGTTCTTTCTCCTTTTTTAGAGGAATATGTTAGGCCTGCAGTATGATTTGGAGATTCAGTACTAAATTGGTTGTTTTCCTTTTCATATTTTTTCATATAATAAAGTCCTTTTTTAAAAAAATATTCAAAATATTATTATAATAAGGTATACAATTAGGCTTAGGAACTATATTAATTGTTCTTTTTGCAGCAATCTTTTATTTTGTACCACAAGCCATATGTATAGATGTTATAGAGCAAAGCTGAATTCTTTTGTAAGGATTTGAGACTGCTAGAACCACCAAAAAAACAAAACCATCCTTTTTCTAGTCTTTCCCCTGTGTAATTTATTTATATCTGAAAGGAAAGTTTCTTGATACGAGATGCTCCAAGATAAAGGATTTCTAAAATTATTTTTGGTACGTTAGAAAATAGTCTAAAACATGGAATACTCCCTTTATTAAAATATTGCTCTTATTATTAAACTTGCTTACATGGCTGCTGATAAAATTATTACCACTGTAGCCCACTGGTTTCTTTCAAAACGAAAGGACCAGTGGAAAGACATGGTTAAGGTATATGAATTTAAGAAAATGTGAAAAGTATATACCAGCGATGGCAAACCTTTTTTGGTTTGCGTGCCATAAATGGGGGGAGCGCAGAGGGTGCCACACCCATAATGCAATGCGTGACACCCCCTCAGTGCGCATGAGTGCACTATAGGCACAACCCCCCATTTTTTGCATCCTTTTTTCGCCCTCCCCAGGCTCCAGAGGCTTTATAGGAGCCTGGGGAGGGCGAAAAAAGCCTCCCCCCACCCGAGGCCCTCCAGAAGCTTCAGGGACCTTCAGGAGGCTTCCCTAAAGCCTCTGGAAGGCAAAAAAAACCCAACCCTATGAGCAAACTGGAAGTGACTTCCGGTTGGCTTGGAGGGTCGTTTTGAGCACTCCGGAGGCTTCAGGGACCTTCAGGAGGCTTCCCTGAAGCCTCTGGAGCACTTAAAAAGACCCTCTGAGCAAACCGGAAGTCAGTTCCCGAACTTCCGGTTTGCCGATAGGGCTGGTTTTTTGCGCTCCGGAGGCTTCAGGGAAGCTCATGAAGCCTCCGGAGGGCCTCCGGGCGGGGAGGCTCTTTTCGCCCTCCCCAGGTTCCAGAGGCTTTAAAAAAGGGTGAACTCAGCTGGCCAAGCGCGTGCATGCGCCCTGGCTAGCTGACAGGGCAGCACCTTGCGTGCCCTGACAAATGGCTCCGCGTGCCACCTATGGCACATGTGTTATAGGTTCACCATCCCGGGTATATACTATTGTAACCCTCAGTTTGATGAAAACAGACATTCTGCTATACAAAACTGAATGTTCACAGATCAAGGAAGTGGGAGGCACACCTATATATCCCAAATAATTCTTGTGAAGTCCTTAAAGGAGTTAAGTAGACTGTAGTAATTGCCTTAAACACAAGTAGCTCATTCAGAAGAGGAGGTCCTTGTTAGAAGTATTCTGGAAAGCCCCAAACAAACTTATGATGCTTCAATTTAACATGTGTCTGCCACGCCAGCAAGTCTCATTCTCTCATGGCATTTTTCTTTGAATACATCTCAGATTCTGTACATTCTATGTGATTTGTGGCCTTCTTTGTTAGCAATCATAGAGTCTTTTAAATGTAGGGAATTCATTAGTTAGAAAACAGAAGTTAAATTTTAAATAAATTTTTAAATAAATTATTCAGTACTTGAGCAAGGTTGCCATTACAGTTAGGTTGTATAGCATTTTATTGCATTCTTGCAGGAGTATGTCTCTAGCCCTAGGGTGTCAAACTCAAGGCCTGGGAGCCAAATTCAGCCTGCAGGGTGTTTAGATCTGACTCGCGGGGCTGCCTTGGAAACAGTAAAGGACCAGCCCACGGTGCCTCTGTCACCAAAACAGAGCTCAGTTTTCGCTGACAGAGGGTTTCAGGAGGCCATTGCAGCCAAAAACAGAGCTTGGAAGCCCCTTTTCACTGGAGGAGCATTTGGGCTCCACAGGCGACCCCAACATGAGTGATGTCAAACTGGCCACGTCCTCCCCCAGATCAAACAAAACCCTGATGCAGCCCTCAATGAAATAGAGTTTGACACCCCTGCTCTACACTATAGCTACAGTAACAGGATATTTTCAGATTCAAAGAGGGGGATGGTATTTAGGGAGTATGCATGGCCATATCAAGTCTCTTGTGCTTTTTATTACATTTAAACATTTTAATTTTATTTCAGAAAAGTTTACCACTGCTTAAGTAAAACCACTGGTACAAGATTCTTTCCCCTTGGACAGTAGTTGGAAAAGGATTATCTTAATAGATTAGTGGATCTGCATATGCTAAGTGTCTTTTCTAAACTGGAAAGTTGAGGTATAGATAATAGGCTGTGCAAATTAGAGGGGAAAATACTACTTCAGAGCATTGAGGCCTTTTATTTAACATTCTCAGCAACTTTTTACATTAGCTATCTCTTCCTGAGGCCACAGTTTGCTGACAGATGCTTTGTTCTTGGCCACACATAGTCTAAAATACACATTTCCTTTGATCCTGAATCACTGAATAGGCCCCTCCCCCACCTTGACCCCAATACATTTGTAGATATTTTCTTAACTCAACTTGCTTGAAAATTGATGATTCTCTGTACAGTAGTGGATTTCCTGCATGGGTAGGCTAGATTATCTTTGAGGAACTTTCCA